CATTGGGCAATCTACCTGCTAAATGTGTCTTGAGTCTCTCCACTCTTTTCCATCCTTGTTTTAGGTTTCAACATTATTGCAGCAGTCTTCTCACTGTTTCTAATGGTGCTCCCTCAAATCTATCACTTATACAGCAGCCAGTATGTAACACTCTCACCAAGAGATACGGGCTCCATTTTCCCGAGTCTGCACAACACTATTGTTTATTTATAGTGAGGATGGCTCCATCAAGGAAGGCATGGAGTGACCCTCTGGATACGTCATCTTTAAGTTAGACATATTTGAAGCCATCTCTGACATTTCTGATCTATTTGTAACAATTAGCCACAGCTGAGTAAAAAATCACCCCAAAAGTTAGTGGCTAAAACAACCACAATTGTTTATCTCTTGATTCCATGTGTTGGCACCTTAGGTTCGACTCTGCTGCTCAGTTCTTCTGGTCTCCACTGGGCCTGTTGACGTGTTTGTGGTCAGCTGTGTGTCAGCTTTGCCAATCTTGGCTGGGCTGTCTTTCATATCTGGGACTCATCTGGGATGATCCATCACTCTTTCACTTTGTATTTTTCTGATTAGCCTGGGGTTTGTTCAAATGGCAGAGGCAAGGGGCCCAGTGTACGAGCAGAGACAAATAGGTTTCTTGAGGTCTAAGTTTGGAAATGGGGCCACATTGCTTCTGCCATTTTAATTGGACAGTGCACGTCATAGACCAGCTAGAGTCAAGGGCTGCTGACCCAAAGGCCACATCTTCAAGAGAGGAGTGGTAAGGTCACCTTGTGTAGCACAAACCTCATCCCAAGGTGCGAACACAGGGAGGAGGAAACGGTGACAACCATTTCTGCAATCTATACTCATTACAGTTTGAAAGGAATGCCAGCCTTTTGCTTGCATACAATCAGCCAGAATTGATTCTCCTGTCATGCCTAATTGCAAGGGAACTGAGAAAAAATGAGAAAGTCTGGATATTGGGCGGGCATCTGGTGGAGAAAGGCAGGGTGAATCTCTTGTTTGCAGTGTTCTCTTCTCCCTGCTTCTTCGACCTTGACCCGGGCTTTTATTTCTACTTACCAGATGTGGATGAATGTGCCAGTTCCAGAAGTTGCCCAGAGCATTCGACTTGCCATAACAGTCTTGGAAGCTACTCTTGCGTCTGCAACCCAGGATATGTATCCAGAAGTGGAAAGAAGAGCTTCCAGGGACCAGGGGAGACATGTCAAGGTAGGTGCAGGGGTCTTCTGGGAATCATGTCCAATCTGTTTGGAAAGACAGCAGTGCTGGAGGAAGAGCTCGAAGTTGAGGTAGGTCTCAGCTGAGTTCAAAGTCTTGTCTGCAGAACTGAAGCCGATAGGCATTCATCCATTCATGCATTCACTCAACAAACACTTCTTGAGCACCTACTATATAGAAAAGCACTGTTCGAGGGATGGAGGATACTGCAGTGAGTAACACAGGCAAAAATGTTTCTTCTCCTGAAACTTCTTGTTGAGGGCGGCGAGAAACAGATAATAAGCAACATACGTGAATGCATCTGCTATTTGGGCTGACTTTGGTGAGGATGACTTGACTTTGTTCCACAAGTGTCAGTTGAGCTGGTTCAACTGGGGGCTAGAAGATCCACTTTAAAGGGGGCTCACTCACATGCAGAAGCTGGTGCTGAATGAAGCTGCGGGCCGAAGGTCTTAGTTCTTCCCCACACGGGCTGTTTTATCACGGCTCTTTGAGCTTCCTCACAGTATGGTGGCTGAGTCAAACATGAGCATTCCAAAAGAGCAAGGTGAAAGTGTGTGAGATTTTTATGACTTAGCACAGCCATTTTATTGCCAAGTGTCACCACTGCCTAGTCACAAACATGCTCAGATTCCAGAGGAGGGAATATAGACCCTGCTTGCTGGAAGAAGCACCCAAGAAAAGACATTGGATTAAGGGCATATGGATTAGAAGACATTGTTTCAACCATCTTTGGAAGATCCCAGCTGTATTTGAAGAAAATCTGTAGCTTTGACTCTCTTTCTCCCCAGATATAGATGAATGTTCTCAAAAGCCCCCACCTTGTGGTCCTAACTCAGTCTGCAGAAACCTGCCAGGAAAGTATGAGTGCAGCTGTTTGACTGGTTTCTCTTCTCCCACTGGAAATAACTGGATCCCTGGAAAGCCGGGTCATTTCAGCTGTACAGGTAATGAGCTCAGACTCTCAGGCGTTTGTAGACTACTGGTATTGAGTTGAGTACATGGTGTGCTAAACTTAGACACCTAATCTTTGGTCTGCTCACTCTCCTCCACTGCTCCTCAGACATTAATGAATGCCTCTCCCGTGGGGTCTGCCCTGAGCATTCTGAGTGCACCAACTCTTTGGGAAGCTACCGTTGCAGCTGCAAAGTTGGATTCACCTCTAAAAACTCCAGCTGTGAAGGTACAGAGAACCGGATCTTTTTTAGCTACTGAATGAATTAAGTATTTTATGTGATGATCCTATGAGCTAGAGATTTTGATCTTCATTTGAGGAATGATCCAAATAAGGCCCAGAAAGGTAAAGTGACTAGCTCAAGGATACACAGCTAGGAAGCAGAAAAACATGGATTGGAACCCTTGTTGAGGGTGTGCTATTAGTTAAGCTGTGGGTCAAGCAGTATTTGAGAGTACTGGAGGATTCAGTCCCTAGCCTGATTTATGCCCTGCTTGGGGCGGGGGTGATATTTACAATGTCTGGAGACATTTTGGTCCAAACTGGTGGTGGTGGTGTGTTGGTTTGTGTAACAGTCAACTGGTGGGTAGAGACCAGAGATCCTGCTAGACCTCTTCCAATGCACAGAATAACCTGCCCACAAGCAAGAAGGCTCGACCCCAAATGTAAATAGTACTGCGATAGAGACACTCTTTCCCAGGGAGATCTCAGACCCAAACGTTCAAACTTTGCCCTACAAGGCATAAGACCTGAGAGTGATTCTTGATCCTTGCCCCCTTTCCATATTAAATGATTCATCATGTCATTGGGCAATCTACCTGCTAAATGTGTCTTGAGTCTCTCCACTCTTTTCCATCCTTGTTTTAGGTTTCAACATTATTGCAGCAGTCTTCTCACTGTTTCTAATGGTGCTCCCTCAAATCTATCACTTATACAGCAGCCAGTATGTAACACTCTCACCAAGAGATACGGGCTCCATTTTCCCGAGTCTGCACAACACTATTGTTTATTTATAGTGAGGATGGCTCCATCAAGGAAGGCATGGAGTGACCCTCTTGGATACGTCATCTTTAAGTTAGACATATTTGAGGTCATCTCTGACATTTCTGATCTATTTGTAACAATTAGCCACAGCTGAGTAAAAAATCACCCCCAAAATTAGTGGCTAATACAACCGCAATTGTTTATCTCTTGATTCCATGTGTTGGCACCTTAGGTTCGACTCTGCTGCTCAGTTCTCCTGGTCTCCACTGGGCCTGTTCACGTGTTTGTGGTCAGCTGTGTGTCAGCTTTGCCAATCTTGGCTGGGCTGTCTTTCATATCTGGGACTCATCTGGGATGATCCATCACTCTTTCACTTTGTATTTTTCTGATTAGCCTGGGGTTTGTTCAAATGGCAGAGGCAAGGGGCCCAGTGTACGAGCAGAGAAACAAATAGGTTTCTTGAGGTCTAAGTTTGGAAATGGGGCCACATTGCTTCTGCCATTTTAATTGGACAGTGCACGTCATAGACCAGCTAGAGTCAAGGGCTGCTGACCCAAAGGCCACATCTTCAAGAGAGGAGTGGTAAGGTCACCTTGTGTAGCACAAACCTCATCCCAAGGTGCGAACACAGGGAGGAGGAAAGGGTGACAACCATTTCTGCAATCTATACTCATTACAGTTTGAAAGGAATGCCAGCCTTTTGCTTGCATACAATCAGCCAGAATTGATTCTCCTGTCATGCCTAATTGCAAGGGAACTGAGAAAAAATGAGAAAGTCTGGATATTGGGCGGGCATCTGGTGGAGAAAGGCAGGGTGAATCTCTTGTTTGCAGTGTTCTCTTCTCCCTGCTTCTTCGACCTTGACCCGGGCTTTTATTTCTACTTACCAGATGTGGATGAATGTGCCAGTTCCAGAAGTTGCCCAGAGCATTCGACTTGCCATAACAGTCTTGGAAGCTACTCTTGCGTCTGCAACCCAGGATATGTATCCAGAAGTGGAAAGAAGAGCTTCCAGGGACCAGGGGAGACATGTCAAGGTAGGTGCAGGGGTCTTCTGGGAATCATGTCCAATCTGTTTGGAAAGACAGCAGTGCTGGAGGAAGAGCTCGAAGTTGAGGTAGGTCTCAGCTGAGTTCAAAGTCTTGTCTGCAGAACTGAAGCCGATAGGCATTCATCCATTCATGCATTCACTCAACAAACACTTCTTGAGCACCTACTATATAGAAAAGCACTGTTCGAGGGATGGAGGATACTGCAGTGAGTAACACAGGCAAAAATGTTTCTTCTCCTGAAACTTCTTGTTGAGGGCGGCGAGAAACAGATAATAAGCAACATACGTGAATGCATCTGCTATTTGGGCTGACTTTGGTGAGGATGACTTGACTTTGTTCCACAAGTGTCAGATGAGCTGGTTCAACTGGGGGCTAGAAGATCCACTTTAAAGGGGGCTCACTCACATGCAGAAGCTGGTGCTGAATGAAGCTGCGGGCCGAAGGTCTTAGTTCTTCCCCACACGGGCTGTTTTATCACGGCTCTTTGAGCTTCCTCACAGTATGGTGGCTGAGTCAAACATGAGCATTCCAAAAGAGCAAGGTGAAAGTGTGTGAGATTTTTATGACTTAGCACAGCCATTTTATTGCCGAGTGTCACCACTGCCTAGTCACAAACATGCTCAGATTCCAGAGGAGGGAATATAGACCCTGCTTGCTGGAAGAAGCACCCAAGAAAAGACATTGGATTAAGGGCATATGGATTAGAAGACATTGTTTCAACCATCTTTGGAAGATCCCAGCTGTATTTGAAGAAAATCTGTAGCTTTGACTCTCTTTCTCCCCAGATATAGATGAATGTTCTCAAAAGCCCCCACCTTGTGGTCCTAACTCAGTCTGCAGAAACCTGCCAGGAAAGTATGAGTGCAGCTGTTTGACTGGTTTCTCTTCTCCCACTGGAAATAACTGGATCCCTGGAAAGCCGGGTCATTTCAGCTGTACAGGTAATGAGCTCAGACTCTCAGGCGTTTGTAGACTACTGGTATTGAGTTGAGTACATGGTGTGCTAAACTTAGACACCTAATCTTTGGTCTGCTCACTCTCCTCCACTGCTCCTCAGACATTAATGAATGCCTCTCCCGTGGGGTCTGCCCTGAGCATTCTGAGTGCACCAACTCTTTGGGAAGCTACCGTTGCAGCTGCAAAGTTGGATTCACCTCTAAAAACTCCAGCTGTGAAGGTACAGAGAACCGGATCTTTTTTAGCTACTGAATGAATTAAGTATTTTATGTGATGATCCTATGAGCTAGAGATTTTGATCTTCATTTGAGGAATGATCCAAATAAGGCCCAGAAAGGTAAAGTGACTAGCTCAAGGATACACAGCTAGGAAGCAGAAAAACATGGATTGGAACCCTTGTTGAGGGTGTGCTATTAGTTAAGCTGTGGGTCAAGCAGTATTTGAGAGTACTGGAGGATTCAGTCCCTAGCCTGATTTATGCCCTGCTTGGGGCGGGGGTGATATTTACAATGTCTGGAGACATTTTGGTCCAAACTGGTGGTGGTGTGTTGGTTTGTGTAACAGTCAACTGGTGGGTAGAGACCAGAGATCCTGCTAGACATCCTCCAATTCACAGAATAATCTGCCCACAAGCAAGAAGGCTCGACCCCAAATGTAAATAGTACTGAGATAGAGACACTCTTTCCCAGGGAGATCTCAGACCCAAACGTTCGAACTTTGCCCTACAAGGCATAAGACCTGAGAGTGATTCTTGATCCTTGCCCCCTTTCCATATTAAATGATTCATCATGTCATTGGGCAATCTACCTGCTAAATGTGTCTTGAGTCTCTCCACTCTTTTCCATCCTTGTTTTAGGTTTCAACATTATTGCAGCAGTCTTCTCACTGTTTCTAATGGTGCTCCCTCAAATCTATCACTTATACAGCAGCCAGTATGTAACACTCTCACCAAGAGATACAGGCTCCATTTTCCCGAGTCTGCACAACACTATTGTTTATTTATAGTGAGGATGGCTCCATCAAGGAAGGCATGGAGTGACCCTCTTGGATACGTCATCTTTAAGTTAGACATATTTGAGGTCATCTCTGACATTTCTGATCTATTTGTAACAATTAGCCACAGCTGAGTAAAAAATCACCCCCAAAATTAGTGGCTAATACAACCGCAATTGTTTATCTCTTGATTCCATGTGTTGGCACCTTAGGTTCGACTCTGCTGCTCAGTTCTTCTGGTCTCCACTGGGCCTGTTCACGTGTTTGTGGTCAGCTGTGTGTCAGCTTTGCCAATCTTGGCTGGGCTGTCTTTCATATCTGGGACTCATCTGGGATGATCCATCACTCTTTCACTTTGTATTTTTCTGATTAGCCTGGGGTTTGTTCAAATGGCTGAGGCAAGGGGCCCAGTGTACGAGCAGAGACAAATAGGTTTCTTGAGGTCTAAGTTTGGAAATGGGGCCACATTGCTTCTGCCATTTTAATTGGACAGTGCACGTCATAGACCAGCTAGAGTCAAGGGCTGCTGACCCAAAGGCCACATCTTCAAGAGAGGAGTGGTAAGGTCACCTTGTGTAGCACAAACCTCATCCCAAGGTACGAACACAGGGAGGAGGAAAGGGTGACAACCATTTCTGCAATCTATACTCATTACAGTTTGAAAGGAATGCCAGCCTTTTGCTTGCATACAATCAGCCAGAATTGATTCTCCTGTTATGCCTAATTGCAAGGGAACTGAGAAAAAATGAGAAAGTCTGGATATTGGGCGGGCATCTGGTGGAGAAAGGCAGGGTGAATCTCTTGTTTGCAGTGTTCTCTTCTCCCTGCTTCTTCGACCTTGACCCGGGCTTTTATTTCTACTTACCAGATGTGGATGAATGTGCCAATTCCAGAAGTTGCCCAGAGCATTCGACTTGCCATAACAGTCTTGGAAGCTACTCTTGCGTCTGCAACCCAGGCTATCAATCTAGAAGTGGAAGGAAAATTTTTCAGGAGCCAGGAGAGATGTGTGAAGGTATTATCAGGGTCTTCTGGGGAATCACGTCCAATGTGTTTGAAAAGACAGATGTGATGGGGAGGAGTTGGTGTCGATCTCTCTTGAGCTCAAAGCCCTCATATGCAAAGTTGGAGCCGATAGCAATTGATCTATTCATGCATTCATTCAACAAACACTTCTTGAGTGCCTACTATATGAGAAGCATTATTCTAGGGATGCAGGATACAGTGATAACACAGAAAAAATATATTCTACTGGAGCTTCTTATCAATGGTGAGAGAATCAGACAACAAACAAAATGCAGTTATGTATTTGGGCTATCGGCTCTTTGGGCTTAGTTTCCTGATGGTGGCTTGACATTCTCCCATGTTGTAGCAGTTGTGTTGGCTCAGCTGAGGACTAGAATATCTAATTTGAAAGGGACTCACTCATAAGGTGAAGACAGTGCTGGCTGTTGGCTGGAAGCTCTGCCAGAGTTGTAAACTGGAGGTCTAAGTTCTTCCCCATGACAGCTGTTTTTTTTTTCACGGCTAGTTCAGCTTCCTCACAGTATGGTAGCTGAGTCCAGCATGGGCATCTGAAGAGAGCTAGGTGGAAGTGTGTGACATTTTGATGACTTAGCATGGTATTTTTATGACCAAGTGTCACCACCATCATAGTCAGAAGCATGCTCAGATTCAAGGGGAGGAAATATAGACCTCATTGCTTGATGGAAGGAGTATCAAAGAAAGGACGTTGAATTAAGGGCATTAGGAATGCAAGACATTGTTTCAACGATCTTTGGAAGATACAAACTATTTCACAAGATGAAGAAAATCTGTAACTCTGACTCCCTTTCTCTCCAGATATAGATGAATGTTCTCAAAGGCCCCCATCTTGTGGTCCTAACTCAGTCTGCAGAAACCTGCCAGGAAGGTATGAGTGCAGCTGTTTGACTGGCTTCTCTTCTCCCACTGGAAATAATTGGATCCCTGGAAAGTCAGGTCATTTTACCTGCACAGGTAATGTGCTCGGCCTCTCAGGCTTGGGTCTTTGGCAGACAACTTCTATTGAGTTGGGAATGTGGTGTGCTAAACTTAGACACCTAATCTTTGGTCTGCTCACTCTCCTCCACTGCTTCTCAGACATTAATGAATGCCTCTCCCATGGGGTCTGCCCTGAGCATTCTGAGTGCACCAACTCTTTGGGAAGCTACCACTGCAGCTGCAAAGTTGGATTCACCTCTAAAAACTCCATCTGTGAAGGTATAGAGAACTTGATCTTCTTTTTTAGCTACTCTGTTTATTAAGAACTTTATCTGATGTTCCTATGAGGTAAAGATTATGTTCCTAATGATCCACTTGGGGCTCGGAGAGGTAAAATCATTAATTCAAGGATACACAGCTATGAAGTAGACGACGCTGAACTTGAACTCCTGTTGAGTGTCTACTATGAGTTAAGCTGTGGCTCAGGCAGTCCTTGAGAATAGTTCAGGGCTCAAGTTCTAGTCTGATTTATACCTCACTGGTGGGAGATGTGACAGTATCTGGAGATAGTTTTGCTTTTCCGTTCTGGTGATGTTGGTGGGTAGTTTGTGTTAATCAACTGGTTAATCTCTGGGTAGAGACTAGAGATCCTGCTAAACATCCTCCAATGCACATCACAGCCTCCCCACAACCAAGAATAATCTGGTCCCATGTATCAGTAGCACTGAGATAAACTCTGTCCTGTGGAGAGCTCAGATCCAAAATTCAGAATTTTTCCCAAGAGGTATTTGAGTGAAGACCTGAGAGTTATTCTTGATATTCCCTCTCCTTCCATATTAAATCAGTCATTGTGTTTTGGGCAATCTACCTGCTAAATATGTCTTGAATCTCTCCGCTCTCTTCCATCCTTGGTTTAAGTTTCATCATTATTACAGTGGCCTCCTCACTAGTCTCTCTGTTTTTCTAGTGTTGCTTTCTCAAATCTATTCTGCACACTGCAACCAGAATACTGTCACCAAGAGATATGGGCTCCAATTCCTGAGTCTGCTGCAGCGTTATTAATTATCTGAAGGGAGGGTGATTCCATAAGCAAGGCATGGAGTGATCAAGCCCTCAAATGACATTCCCTTGGCTCGGAGTTAGAGATATTTGAAATCATCTCTGACACTTCTGATCTATTTGTAGCTGTTAGCTATTGCTGAGTAACAAATGACCCTGTAGTTAGTGGCTAAAACAACCACTATTTGTTTATTTCTTAACTCCATATGTTGGAAGTTTATGTTGGGCTCTGCTCTGGTCAGTTTTTAGGTCTCCACTGGGCTGGTTCAGGTGTTGGTGGTCAGCTGTGTGTCAGCTTTGCTAATCTTGACTGGGCTGCCTCATATATCTGCAGCTTATCTGGGATGATCTTTGTCTCTTTCACTTTGTCTTTTCCTTACTATCCTGGAGTTCATATGACAAAGGCAAGGGGCCCAAAGTATGAGTAGAAATAGGTTTTTTGAGGTCTATGTCTGGAAGTGCCACCATGATACTTCTGCTGTATTTATTGGCGAGTGCAAGTCATAGAGCCAGCTAGAGTGAAGGGCTGCGGAATCAAACCCCACACATTAGAGAGATGAGTGGCAATGTCACATTGTATGGCACAAACCTCAGACCAAGGTTGGACACAGGGAGGAGTAAAACATGACAGTCATTTCTACACTCTATGATCATTATGGTTTGAAACTATTTGTCACCTTTTGTGTGCATACAATTGGCCAGAATGTATTCTCATGACCATGCCTAACTTAAAGTGAGGTTAGGGAGAAGGGGAAAGTCTGGGTATTGGGGAGGGTCAAGGGGAGTAGTGTCCCATCTTCACCACTTCTCCTTCTTTGACCTGGGTTTTAATTTCTACTCACCAGATGTGGATGAATGTGTCAATCCCAGAAGCTGCCCAGAGCATTCGACTTGCCACAACAGTCTTGGAAACTACTCTTGTGTCTGCAACACAGGATATGAATCCAGAAGTGGAAAGAAGAATTTCCAGGGACCAGGAGAGACATGTGAAGGTAAGTGACGGGCAAGTGAAGGTAAGTGAAGAATCAAGTCCAATCTGTTTGCAAAGACAGCGGTGGTAGGGGAGAAGTTGAAGTGGGTCTCAGCTGAGTCCAAAGCCCTTGTCTGTAGAGCTGAAGCCTATAGTCACTCATTCATTCATGCATTCATTCTACAAATACTTCTTGAGCACCTACTATATGCCAAGCATTATTCTAGGGATGAAGGATACAGCAGTGAGTAACACAGGTAAAAATTACTTGTTCTCCTAGAACTTTTCATGAAATGTGGGGAGAGGAAGGTAACAACAAATGCATGCAGGAAAATCTTGTGTGTCAGGGATAGTTCAAGGAAAAGTGAATAGGGTATACAGGAGGGTGACGTTGTAGTTTTAATAGAATGGTAGGGAGAGGTCATGCTGAGTTGGTTTTTGATATAAGACCTGAGGGAGTGAGATGCTGGGTATCTGGGGAAGGGTGTTCCAGGAAGAGGAAACAGTAGGTGCAGTGGTCTGAAGGCAGGATCCCATTCAAGACACTAAGCTCTTCCAAACATGTGTTCGTTCAGTCCTCCCAACAAACTGAGGGTAAAATGGTATTTTATACCCATCTGACAGATGAGGAAACAGCCTCCATTGTGATGAAATCACCAAGGCCAAATAGAAAGGAAATAAGAGAGTTAAGATTCACCTCTTCCCTGTGTGACTTCATACCCCAACCACCGTGCCTTGCTCCCTCTGAATCAGGTTGCAATCGCTAGCAACTCAGGGTGGGCTTGTGCAGGACAGATATCAATTTAATTCCCAAATTCCCAGTCTCTGAGACTCAAGACAATTTGGAAAGCTGTCATGTAAAAATACCAGAGCCAGACAGAACCTGGATATAAATAGCAGTTGTGCTTTTCACAAGATATGCGATTTCGCACAGTTTTGAAGCCTCAGTTTTCTCCTCTGAAAAATGGAAATATTAGTTTGCAATTCATAGGGCTGCTTTGAGATTTCATGAAGTGGATGCCTATAAAAGATTTTCCTCATTGCCTGCCACAAAAAAAGCGCAACACATTTGCAGTGCATTTTTAATGTTAGGTAGTGGATACGTCTATAATATTTGCTCTGTCCCAGATTCCATTCTGTGTATTTAAAGATACTTATTGTTGTTCAGTCACTAAGTCATGTCTGTCTCTTTGCGGACTGCAGCACGCCAGGCTTCCCTGTTTTTCACTATGTCCCGTAGTTTGCTCAAGCTCATGTCCATTGAGTTGGTGATGCTATCCAACCATCTCGTCCTCTGTCGCCTCCTTCTTCTGCCCTCAATCTTTCCCAGCATCAGGGTCTTTTCTGATTAGATGGCCTTTCACATCAGGTGGCCAAAGTATTGGAGCTTCAGTTTCAGCATTCAGCCCTTCCAATGAATATTGAGGGTTGATTTCCTTTAAGGTTGACTGGTTTGATCTCATCATCTTCTTTGACCCTCTGAACAACTCAATTGGGTGGGTTCTATTATTGCTTTCATTTCAAAGATGAGGAAACAGAGACACAGAGAGATGAATTTTCTTATCCAGTGTATTAGCTCAGACTGTCATAACAAGGTACCCTGGACTGGGGGTGGGGGCTTCACCAACAGAGATTTATTATCTCACAGTTTTGGAGGCTGGTGGTCCAAGATTAAGTATCAGTATGGTAGGGTTCTGGAGAGAGCTCGCTTCCTGCCTTATACACAGCTGCATTCTTGCTGTGTCCCCACATGGCAGAGAGAGAGCTAGCTCTTGTGTTTTGCCTCTTTTTTTCAAAAGTATAACAGGTATTTCTTTTTTACACATGGTTGCATTTATTTACTTGGCTGTGCTGTGTCTTAATTGCAGCACTCATGGTCTTCCTTGTGATTCATGGACCCTTTCATTGTGGCACACATGCTCTGTAGTTGTGGTGTGGGGGCTTAGCTGCTCCATGGCACATGGGATATTAACTCCCTGACCAGTCACTGGACCCGCATCCCCTGCATTGCAGGGTAGATTCTTATCCACTGGGCCATCAGGAAAGCCCCTCTTCCTCTTCTTTTTAGGGCATTCATCCCATCATAAGAGTTCCACACTCAAGATCTCCTCTAAACCTAATTGTTTTCCACATCCAAATGCCATCCCACTGGGGGAGAGGAGGGCTTCAACTTAATGAATTTGGGGGAGACATAATTCACTCAATAACATCCAGTAAGACACACATTATAAGGGTCAGAGCCAGGCTTTGAACTCATGACATCCATGCTCTCTACCCCTCCACTTGGATATAGTGATTCCTTGGAGAGGAATTGAAATTCGTTAACAAAAGAGGGGAGTGACAAATTTGAGTCTGAGGGAACACAGGTGAGAGAGAATGAGCCTCACGGACCTACAGGTAATCGATGAATTTGAATCATGAATTATGAGACATTAGAAGTAAAATATGAGAGACTTCCCTGGCAGTCCAGTGGCTAAGATTTCTCCTTCCAGTGCAGTGGATACAGGTCTGACCCCTGGCTGGGGAGGTAAGATCCCACTTGCCTCACAGCCAAAATCCTGAAACATAAAACAGAAGCAATATTGTAACAAATTCAGTAAAAACTTTAAAATAATGTTGTTTGGTTGCTAAGTCATGTCTGATTCTTTTGCAACCCCATGGACTGTAGACTTCTCTATCCATGGGATTATCCAGGCAAGATAACGGGGTTGGTTTGCCATTTCCTTCTCCAGGGTACCTTCTGGACCAAAGGATTGAACTCATGTGTCCTGCTTTGGCAAGCAGATTCTTTTTCTTTTTTTTTAATTTTAATGTTTTTTTTTTCATTTATTTTTATTAGTTGGAGGATAATTACTTTACAATATTGTAGTGGTTTTTGTCATACATTGACTTGAATTAGCCATGGATTTACATGTATTCCCCATCCCGATCCCCCCTCCCACCTCCCCCTCCACCCGATCCCTCTGGGTCTTCCCAGTGCACCAGGCCTGAGCAGTTGTCTCATGCATCCAACCTGGGCTGGTGATCTCTTTCACCCTAGATAACACACATGTTTCAATGCTGTTCTCTTGACACATCCCGCCCTCACCTTCTCCCACAGAGTCCAAAAGTCTGTTCTGTACATCTGTGTCTCTTTTTCTGTTTTGCATATAGGGTTATTGTTACCATCTTTCTAAATTCTGTATATATGTGTTAGTATACTGTAATGGTCTTTATCCTTCTGGCTTACTTCGCTCTGTATAATGGGCTCCAGTTTCATCCATCTCATTAGAACTGATTCAAATGTACTTTTTGACAGCTGAGTAATATTCCATGGTGTATATGTACTACAGCTTCCTTATCCATTCGTCTGCTGATGGGCATCTAGGTTGCTTCCATGTCCTGGCTATTATAAAGAGTGCTGTGATGAACATTGGGGTGCACGTGTCTCTTTCAGATCTGGTTCCTCGGTGTGTATGCCCAGAAGTGGGATTGCTGGGTCATATGGCAGTTCTATTTCCAGTTTTTTAAGGAATCTCCACACTGTTCTCCACAGTGGCTGTACTAGTTTGCATTCCCACCAACAGTGTAAGAGGGTTCCCTTTTCTCCACACCCTCTCCAGCATTTATTGCTTGTAGACTTTTGGATAGCAGCCATCCTGACTGGCGTGTAATGGTACCTCATTGTGGTTTTGATTTGCATTTCTCTGATAATGAGTGATGTTGAGCATCTTTTCATGTGTTTGTTAGCCATCTGTATGTCTTCCTTGGAGAAATGTCTGTTTAGTTCTTTGGCCCATTTTTTGATTGGGTCATTTATTTTTCTGGAGTTGAGCTGGAGGAGTTGCTTGTATATTTTTGAGATTAATCCTTTGTCTGTTGCTTCGTTTGCTATTATTTTCTCCCAATCTGAGGGCTGTCTTTTCACCTTGCTTATAGTTTCCTTTGTTGTGCAAAAGCTTTTAAGTTTCATTAGGTCCCATTTGTTTATTTTTGCTTTTGTTTCTAATATTCTGGGATGTGGGTCATAGAGGATCCTGCTGTTTCTAATATTCTGGGATGTGGGTCATAGAGGATCCTGCTGTGATTTATGTCAGAGAGTGTTTTGCCTATGTTCTCCTCTAGGAGTTTTATAGTTTCTGGTCTTACATTTAGATCTTTAATCCATTTTGAGTTTATTTTTGTGTATGGTGTTAGAAAGTGTTCTAGTTTCATTCTTTTACAAGTGGTTGACCAGTTTTCCCAGCACCATTTGTTAAAGAGGTTGTCTTTTTTCCATTGTATATCCTTGCCTCCTTTGTCGAAGATAAGGTGTCCATAGGTTCGTGGATTCATCTCTGGGCTTTCTATTCTGTTCCATTGACTTACATTTCTGTCTTTGTGCCAGTACCAAACTGTCTTGATGACTGTGGCTTTGTAGTATAGTCTGAAGTCAGGCAGGTTGATTCCTCCAGTTCCATTCTTCTTTCTCAAGATTACTTTGGCTATTCGAGGTTTTTTGTATTTCCATACAAATTGTGAAATTATTTTTTCTAGTTCTGTGAAAAATACCGTTGGTAGCTTGATAGGGATTGCATTGAATCTATAGATTGCTTTGGGTAGTATAGCCATTTTGACAATATTGATTCTTCCAATCCATGAACACGGTATATTTCTCCATCTGTTTGTGTCCTCTTTGATTTCTTTCATCAGTCTTTTATAGTTTTCTATGTATAGGTCTTTTGTTTCTTTAGGTAGATATACTCCTAAGTATTTTATTCTTTTTGTTGCAATGGTGAATGGTATTGTTTCCTTAATTTCTCTTTCTGTTTTCTCATTGTTAGTGTATAGGAATGCAAGGGATTTCTGTGTGTTAATTTTATATCCTGCAACTTTACTATATTCGTTGATTAGCTCTAGTAATTTTCTGGTAGAGTCTTTAGGGTTTTCTATGCAGAGGATCATGTCATCTGCAAACAGAGAGAGTTTCACTTCTTCTTTTCCTATCTGGATTCCTTTTACTTCTTTTTCTGCTCTGATTGCTGTGGCAAACACTTCCAAAAC